ATTTTGCATATTTAATAGTTAGTGAGTATTACAATTAAAATTAAACAAATATAGTATGATGTCATGTGGGCCAAGCTTATATGCTTATATTATTTAAAAAAAATTCATAATTCAAATAATTACAAAGTAGGGAGGCAAAACTATAAGGTATGAAGTCACAAAGAATATTGCTAGATCCAAGTAAAGAGGCAGTTGAATAAAACTTTTTAGTTAATATCAATGCCAACTATCTCACCTCAATCCCAATAAGGTATAGAGTAGGCAATAAGATAAAACTCTTACTAAAAAACCCAGCTATCCTTCCTCCTTATGGGCATTAATTAGCTTATTAAACCATATTTAAAACTTTAGTAGCTATGATGGGAATGAACCTCCAACCCAACACCCAACATAAAAGTTAGCAATGTTGAATAATTTTCAGTTTGGATTGACATTTTAGTTTACCGGTCCGGATTGAAAGAAAGAAAAAAAAATTCAGGAAAATAAAACAGTTTGCAACTTTTCCCTCAACTGATGGCCAACAACTTTAATTGGACTTAATTGCACATTGATGACAAGTTCAAGGGTTAGTTGATGCATTTATTTCAGAAAATAACGGGTCTGTAATATTGGGTCGGAGCTCCAACAGGCTGGTGGGCTTACCATCGGAACACTACAGGTTCGAGACTGGAGCCAGGAAGACACCGGATCCCAATTTGATGACCTCTTTTTGGTTTCGAGTCCATTTTCTCTGCTCGTGGAAAATTTAGCTTAGAAGAAGGAGATGGGTACGGTGGAACCCAGTTTGGAAGAATTGTTGGAGCAGAAGAAGCGAATCAGGAGCCCTCTTGTTCCAGTCGGTAATTCCCCTTGCCAATTTTCATTATTTTTTAAGTTTAATCTGTTCGGACTCTGGTTTTGAATCTTTCGGTACGTGTTCTTGGCCAATTTTAAGGAAATGAATGAGATTGAAATGTGTTTGTTGCAAGTTGAAAACTTTTGGTTCGGTTTTAGGGAATTTGAAATTTGGTACCGCAGATCCATTTTCAGGAGAAAAACCCTTCTTTTGGAATAATTTTGTTATTAATATTATTATTTATAAAGTGATCTCCTTGGATAGTTGATTTGGGGAATTGATTGTTAGCTTTGACAAGGAATTGTATAACTCCTGCCAGAAGGCGTTTCAGACAACTTTTATAAATTTAAATGGCGACTGAGGTTGCTTCACTTTTTTCTGCATTGTCTCTGTGAGACTGTGACTATGATTGTTAGTTATTCTTAGATCAATTAGAGGCGAAGTGTTAAATGGTTACTTGCAGTTTAAATATAAGTGGGAGCTGAAAATCTTGCTTTCAGCAAAAGCTTTAGAAGAAATAGTTTGACCCTTCTTATGATGGCTAGAAATTTGTGTTATTTTATGTCAAGTTGTGTTTATAATTAGCTAATCTTGATTGATTCATTCTGCGTTGGTATGGATGATGATCAGTCGAGCATTTGGAAAATATGTTGTCTTTTTTTTCTTTTTTTAGTTATTATTATTATTACGCTTGTGGTTGGTTTATTGTGTGGAGGAGGGTTAATGCATCAAACTTTGGTATGATGATCAATTCTTCAATCTTGATAGGAATGGCTCAAAGCAGCAGTAGGCAATTCTTTCTTCAATAGTGGGCATAAATTTCTTCATGGTAAATTTTTGAAGATATTGGAGGGAGAGGCCTAATGCTTAATTAATTCTCTGTAATTTCCTGGGCCGGTAGATTTCTTGCCTCCTTTCGGCATTTTAAATTGCTATTGTGTTTACATTGCTACCAAAAATCTCTAAACCAGCAGCAAGTATATTGTAATATCCACAACCCTTTTCTTTTCATTCTTAAAGACTAGTGGCTTTATTATTATGGTTCAGTTTGTTTGACGTTTGTGAGTTCAACAGGTGCTCTTATGACTGCAGCGGTGCTCACTGCTGGATTAATCAGTTTTAGGTGAGGCAATTCCCATTTGGATCAGATGTTAATGAGAGCTAGGGTGGTTGTTCAGGCGGCTACAGTTGCATTTATGGTTGGCACAGCATGCTACTACAGTGGAAATCCCAGGAAATCGGGTTAGATTCTACAACTTGCTTCCAGTTTTTCAAAGTTTGATTTAGTTCTTAGCTGAAAAGCATACCACATATAGGGGAACAACATTCCTCGTTGGAAAACATTTTTCCTGCAACCAAACAAATTTTTAGATTAATTTTTGTGCACACTCTCTACAACCAAACACATTTTCATATCTTATTTTTCTTGCACTTCCTCTGCAACCAAAGAAAGAATGAAAATCAAAATGAAAATGAAAGTTGAAATAGATGAAATCTGGAAAGAAAAAGTTGACAAAACCAGATATTTTCACAAAAAGAAGAAGAAGAAGAAAAGTTTATAACATAAATGCAGACATTACAAAATTACATAGAAATACAAATAAATTAACGCCATAAAAGACTTTTAACAAGATTCTTCTAATGCGGTCCATTGCCCATATCTTACGAGATTATTGATACAAACTTCAGTCTATAAACATCAAAAGCGGCGGGCAACAGCTGCCGGTTGAGCAAAATGAGGATGGGAAATACTAGGTATGTTATAATAGCTGGTAGTACCAACCACTTTTTTGACAACATGATCGTAAGAGCAAAAACGAAGGCCAAGATCATCGTTACTATGGAAATTATGAGTAAGAACATAGCGACCATCAAGTCTATGGGCAGCATTCGGCGCAGACCAAATGGACCATAGGATCCTGTGAGTATGGTCAGATATAGCAGCATTGAAGTTGATGCAGTAAGGAGGGAAACCACATCACATATTAGAAACCCGGAAAACAGTTTTGTATGCAATAATATGGGGATGCCGGTTTCTTGATTGTTCCCGCAAGGAACTGTAAAAAGTGCCGCAAACATAATGGTGACAATTAAAACAGATACCAGAATATAAGAATTTGCAGCATTCTTTGCCCATTCATTCGATTCTTTTGTCCATTGTTGGTGTTCTCTGTCGAAAACTTGGGATGGAGTTTGCCCATAATGATTTTTGGCTCCTTGATACCAGCGTGGAAGTAAGCTTCCGACTTCCTGTCAATTCATAGTAGTATTAGCCTTAAATAGTCTTGTTAAATAAGATTTTGAGTTGAAAACAACAATTCTCAAAATTAAATGAATTCACATAAGAATTTTAGTAACGCAATAGTTATAATAATACATTTATGTTCCAAAATTATAATACTATCTGATATTATTATTATATTATTTTTAAATATAAAGTGACAAGTGCAAAAAAGTGAGAAAACCCCCGAAAAAGAAAAGCTCAACCAAGAGGTTTCATTATACAATACATCTTATTTGCCTGCCATTTTATACTTTCAACAATCAGAAAGAAAACTTCTTTTTTTTTTTTTCTAATTTACCTTCAATAAAATAAAATAGTGCATGAAAATATAGCATATTTTCAATGTTAATTTGAGAAAAGAAATATGAACTTAATTAGAGTTAACTGATAACCTCGAACCACTTTACTTCTTGTTGCAGAAACCAAGCAGGAAAGAGAGTAACATAAATCTGAAAGTCTGGTAACTTGGCTACTAGATGCAACACGTTGTTTCCATCTTCATCTGTTAAAGAGAGAAATGTTTTCTTCCCTGCATCAAGCCTCAAAAAAAACCCTAAAATACTTCCTCGACGATATTTGATTGCGGAGATGAGTATTTCTCTTGAAAGGTTTTTATTGCACCAAATTAGATGTGGGTTCGATTTGAGGATCTCAATCACAATTTTGACTCTGCCATTCTTGATTGCTTGGAAGATTGCTGAGATTGTTCCCCTTTCAACAAGTTGTGTGGCATCCCTGTAGGTTGATATTTCCTTGCACCAGTATTGCAAAACCGAATTGGCAAACGTATGGGTTAACTTCAGATTATATAAGTCCATAGGTACTCCTACACTAAGTCGAGACAAAGAATCGTTAAGAAAAAGAAAAATTACTTGAAGAAATTCTAAAGAATAACAAAGAAAAAGGTATAGTTGAGTGGACTTCATATACTTCCAAAAATGATGGGTAATATTGCTCCCATTACTTTAATCCATGCTGCTGCAATATCAAAATAGACAAACTCCATTCATATACTGGCTTGATATTTAATTTATTGTATGTCATTTGATTCAATATATAGGCAACAGAAGTATACCATGTAGTATACCATGTATTCCGAAGATTTTTTGTCTGCTTCTGTCCGTATCCTCAGAGGGAGATGGCACTTTAGCAATACAAACACCTTCAATAACAATGAAGGAAATTAATATTATTTAAGTAAAAAATGGAGAAAAAGCAGAAAAGAACTTTTAATTCTTTTCTTATATTTATTGTACATTTAGGGTGTAATTACCTAAATGTACTATGTTTTAATTTATACCAATAAGAGATTAGCTAAATTGGTATCTATAAATTTGAAAACTTTAATTTGGGATAAAGAATAAAGATTCAAATCTCTCTGTTGTCAAATGACTAACTTTTTAATATACAAAAAAAAACTACATTTTTATTTATTTGTATATTTATCTACACTTAAATATAATAAATGTGGGAAAGAAAACTAAAGAGAAAGGGAGACTGTTACCAACATTTATACAAAAGTTGCTCAAAAGGGCTAGGGAATAGAGAAGGATGTTCAGACAATTCTGAAATAGTAATGGATTCTCTAGTGCTAGCTGCCAATTGCGGACAACGAAGGAATAGATCCAAACCAACATCTGTTATATCACATGTAAGTAGTTAACAGATTAAAGCCATGAGTGTACAATCCAAAATGTATATGGCAAGAATTAACAATAAATTAGAACTTAAAAATAGGAAAGCCTAGCAGTGTCCAACTCTTACCAAACATGATGTTGAGTACACAGTGTTTGAGGAACAAGGTTCCTTGATTGCTAGTTTCTGGAAGTAAGAACTCAAATGGAGTTACAGAATACAGATAGGATGACATATTCTTCTTCCTGTTGGAACA